TTAACAAACTACATGTTACTAATTAATGTTTAGGTGAAGTTCACTGATAGAGCATGAATTAGGTCCTGGAATTTAGTCTCCTTGAGTTTTAACTTCTAGTTTCCAGGCTTTACTGTTTTACAAAGAAGTCTGTGTACTTCAGAATCAAGTAATTCAGGATAGGACTACCAAATAGAATTTAATCTTTTTTTGCATGTGAGGTAGTATGCAGGGAAAATAATTGGGGAGTAGGGCATTATTTTAGTCTGGAAAAGATAGAGGTCACCTTGAGGAGAAATTAGTTGCAGGTATTTGTGGGTTACTTTGAGATTTACAAAATTATTTGAAACCAGTAAAAAGCTGCACTACTTCCTTGTAGTATTGAGGTAAAGGAAAAGTATGTCTGTAGAAACTGCAAGTCTAATTTGTAGAACTTGCATTCTTTAAGGAGCTCAATCTTTAAACACTATATAAACAAAGGAGTTGCCTATCATTTTTTAAAAATTTATCTTTATTGTTGAAAATATTATAGATGTCCCTTTTCCCCCAATGACCCTTGTCTGTGCCTTTTCACCCTTTACATCATTTGCTATTAAGAGGAATGCTTACCCAGTCAGCATGGCTCAGTGGTTGAGCCTATGAACCAGGAGGTCGAGGTTCGGTTCCTGGTTGGGGCACATACCTGGGTTGCGTACTGGATCCTCAGTGTGGGGCGTGCAGGAGGCAGCTATCAATGATTCTCTCATCATTGATGTTTTTATCTCTCTCTCCCTCTCGCTAAAATCGATAAAAATATTTTTTTTAAAAAAGAGGAATTCTTAAGAAAGCCTAATGAAATTACATGTTTATAAAAATACTAATAATTGATATCTTTATGTGAGGTAAATAGCTTATAGGTAGACTGTTAGTATGATTTTTATCCTGGAATCTACTAAGGTATAAAATTGCTTTGGTTATGAAACAGTGCATATGAGTCATCACTGCACTTGTGATTTTTCTGACCACCTACAATGTGGTAGAAGCAAAATGTTAATGTAAGTCTTGGCTTCCTTTGGGAAGTATCTCTGGTTGGTATGTAACATTATTGCTTACTAAAGAATTGTTCATCGTGAAAACACTAATTTTAAATCAGAACTATTGATATTGCATAATCAACAAAAAGTTGATAGCCTTCAGGATTTAGGAATTTTTTTTGCATACTAATTTCTGATGCAGGCCAAAGAAAATTTTTAAGTTGTCATGTTGCTGAGGTTATTTTGAGTGACAGAAGTAGATTCTTCCTGGTGGGAGTTATTGAAAGAGTACAGACTTTCTGAAGAATAGTTTTTAAACTGTATGAAGAACTTTAAATATATTCATAGCTTTTTAGGAATTTATGGTAGCAAAATAAGCTGAGGTATAGGAAGAATCATCTAATATTTTGGCACAGTGTTATGCATATTGGAGAAATGTGGGGAAAACTTGTGTTCAACATTAGTGGAGTTAAATGAATTATGGTACATCCACATGCCCTCCCTGTGCCCCTTCCACTGTTCGACTTCTAAGGCTGTGAATGTGGACAAGTTGCCATCAGCTGATATGAACAGCCTGGTTATTTCCTCACGTAAAGCTGGCTTTCGTGCTTCTTACTTTGGCTTGCTCTTGAATACATTTCAATAAAGTCCAATCAGAACAGCAGCCCTAATTTAATTTAATCTCATCCTCACTTTGTACAGGATGCAGTTTCAATAAGACAGAACAAAAATTTAATCATGCAACATTTTCAAGGGTAAAACTGATTTTTGTCAAGGAAGCTGTAGGCTTAGGGTAGCTACCCACCACGGCCTGCTTTAAGTTAGCCACCCCACATGGTCACATCTCTGGATTTGTGAGGCCCACCATGCACCTCCCCTGAGCCCATTTTTGTCCACACACGGCAAGTATAATGTAGGACTGGGAACCCGGGACCAGCTTTGTAAGACTAATTCTGGTCGGACCACTTGAGTGTGAGATGTTGGACATGCTGCTTGACTTGGAGACTGTCTTTATCTGTTAATTGGGGACAGTTTTACCCAGCTTCCTTTACTGTTTAAGGGTTTTAAGATAAAAGAACAGAAAGACCTTCAAAAAAAATCTATTACATATTTTTATTTTTTATTCTCACCCAAGGATATGCTTTTATTTTTAGAGAGAGAGGAAGGTGGAGAGAGAGGAACATTCATTAGTTGCCTCCTATATATGCCCCAACCCGGGATTAAACAAACCCACAACCTTCTTTGACATATGGGACAGTGTTTCACCAACTGTCCTCTCTCAAATCAGTCAGTAAAAAAATTTTTAAATTAAATAAAGATCACTCGGGGCAGTAGTTCCTCATTTATAAGTTGACTTAAAATAGATTTCTTTTAACCCTGAAAATTGGGCATTTTAATGGACACATAGGTAGTGACAGGCACCTTAATTCGTATGTCCTATGCTCTATTTGTTCACTATTCTTTATAAACACCCAGTGAATGCTTACTTTCATCGCTTTGGTGATTCTGTTTCCTTTGCCTGAAATTCCCATTTGTTGTCATGTTTCCAGCTCCTACCATCTTGCAAGTGTAGCTCAAATTCCACAGCTTCTAAAAAAGCTTGACCTTATTAGTCCACAGTGAAGTACTTTTCAGTGATTGGATCCCATAGTTTCTTTATTATAATTCCTCCTTATGTACGTCTTCTATTTCCCTTAGGTTTTAAGCAGCAATTAATAACACTGTACATGTCATGGGTGGCAGTTAAATACTTGGGAATTTTTTCACTTTTTAACAAAAATCATTTGTTATTTTAGGCAGGTATTTTGTGAGGGTAAAGTAGGGGAAGGAATGGGAAAAAGAAGGAACAAAGTGATGGTGAATGGATCTTAAAGGCAGAAATTAGAAAGGGAGTGAGGGAGAGTAAAAGGAAAGAATAAAAAGGTATGAAACGGGTTTTTCTTTGGACTTATTAATCTATGTATATCCTATTTTAGTTTCTGAGTGTCATAACAATTTTATGTTTTTCCCTAGGGTATTTGGAGGAATCACTCAGGTTTACTTGATGTGATAGTTTGAAAGCCTGCTATAATCTTTTTTTGTCATTAAAACTTAAAAGTCTTCTCAAGGATTTTCTAGTTATTATATAAGTTACTGAAAACTACATTTTTAGCTTTTGAATTTTAATAGCAAAATATGTTATTGTGAAGTGTTGCTACAAAGCCATATTCAATTTGGGGAGAATAAAAGGGACAAGAAAGATATTTGTAGTAATTTCTACCTGGTTGAAAGTTTGGGGAGAATCTGTACATTGGTTTGCTCACCAGATTGTTGAAGCTAACTTGGTCTCTGATCAGAGTCTAAGCTTTTAAAGGCCTCACTAGGTAGTGAGGGGGAGAATAAAAAGGAATGAGACAGATTTTTCTTTGGATTTATTAATCTGTGTATATCCATCCTATTGTAGTTTCTGAGTGTCATAAACTAATTTTTATTTTGTTTTTATTAATTTTGACCATTTATTTTGTGAAAATATTTTTTAGAGATGACTTAAATCACTCTCCTATGGATAAAACTTAGTCTCTTGTCCAAAAGCAAGTAACAATTTACTTTTGCTAGGCAATAACATGGTCACTAATTTTTTTGCACTATGATACCATAAGATAAGTGTATTCCTATTTTATGTTAGTTATGTAGCTTTTAGTGAAAGCAAATACCATTTACTGGTGTGATAAATACATAGAAAGCTTATTCTGCAGTTTTTTTTAAAACTACCACTGTCGTTTATTTGACAAACCATTTTCTGTAAATAATCAGCATGTTATTTTTCACTGACTTTTTTGACAGCTGGCTCAATTTTCTTTTAAATATTAAATCACTAGTATTGTTGAACATTGTTTAAAGGTTTTAGATCAGGGTAAGACCAAAAACATTGTACCTTATAAAAGTAATAACTAATAACTAGCTAGTAAGTTTGGTAGTCAGTATACTCTAGTGCAGTGATGGCGAACCTATGACACGCAAACTCATTTTTTCGGTTGATATTTCTTTGTTAAATGGCATTTAAATATATAAAATAAATATCAAAAATATAAATCTTTATTTTACTGTGGTTGCAAAGATCAAAAAATTTCTATATGTGATACGGCACCAGAGTTAAGTTAGGGTTTTTCAAAATGCTGGCACGCCGAGCTCAAAAGGTTTGTCATCACTGCTCTAATGGTTAATGGTTTGGAATAAGAGAAACCCATCTCTGCCACTATGCAGTCATGGGAAGTTTCATATGTATGAGCCTCTATTTCCTCATCTAAAATGGGGATAGAGTCATTTATCTTATCAACAAACAATAAATTTATTGAGCTCCTACTATGTACCTGGAACCATAATGTATTTTGGGTAATAATAGTACCTTCTGTCATAAAATTGTTGGAGGCATTCATTAAATCAGGTAGAATGCATGCTCTGAGAGTTTATAGCACAAAGTGATTGGTAAATGTTAGCTCTTATTTTTAAAATATCGCAAATACTTTTTAGAAGTTCTCTAAGAGCCAAAATTGTTTCAGGGAATAATTATGTATCCGGGATATGTCATTAAATTAGGATATGTGTTAGTTTTTTTTTGTTTGTTTGTTTTTTAACACTGGCATGAAATTCATATATTTTAAGGTTCCCTAGTAGGCCTTTTTAAAAGTTGTAACATCTTTGAACACAACTATAAATTATATTAAAATCAGCTTTAGCATTTTAGGATAAACTTTATAATTGCCATGTATAAATGTATATGCTCTGTGGACCAACTCCATATTCTATTGTTTTTTTAAGATAGAAATATATGGATCACTAATAATAGGGAAATAATTACATTAAGTAATAACTAAATACATAAATACATGTGGTCAGTCTTATTATCAGGACATATTTGGACAATGAGAAAAGTTTTTCTTTTTTTTAAATATGTTTTTATTGGTTTTGGAGAGAGAGGGAGCAGAAACATCGATGAGAGAGAACCATCAAGTGGCCCCCTACTGGAGGATGGAGCCCATAACCCTGGCAGTGTGTCCTGGAAAGATGCTCAACCAACTGAGCCATACCAGCCAGGGTGAAAAGCTCCTTTCAACAGTATAAAAACACAATTTTAAACATACTTATGCTGTGTGATAGTTTATTTTACAAAAGTAATTATAGGATTTTCCTTTGAAAGTTGTCATTGTACCAATAACCCTGTGAGATCTCCTTTTCTCAGATGAGGAAACAGAATCACAGACAGGTAACTCAGTTTAAGTATTATAGCCAGGATTCAAGAACTTCTGTGCTAACCTTTCCTATCCAATACAGAATTACTGTCTCCCTTAGATTTTACAATCAGGTTAAATATTTGAATAACTAGAGGCCCTGATGCATGAAATTCATGCAAGAGTAGGCCTTCCTTCCCCCAGCTGCCGGCACCGGCTTCCCTCTGGCACCCAGGACCCGGGCTTCCCCTTGCAGCCCCGGCTTCCTCGGAAGGTTGCCCAGTCTAATTAGCATGTTATGCTTTTATTATTATAGATATGTAAATATAGTCATAATTTTTTTTAACAAAGAGCAACATTTTGACACTTGCCTGAACATTTGCTGAGCTCTGTAATTAATATTGGGTGATTGTATTAGATTGTGCAGGAGAATACACCATAACAGATGGTTAGGCATTAGCACAACTAGCAATGGTCATCAAGATTTTAAAACCTGGTATTAAAAAATATCTGTATTTAAGAATGAATCATAATTTCCTTGTTTTTCAGTGTGGATTCAGTAATACTGGTTTAATTTTGATAAATCGGCACTTAATGCTGTGTTGAGTAGATCAGTTCAGCCTGGTTCAATGAATATTTAATAATGGCTGTAGCTTAAATTCACTAGAATTCTAGTTCACATGAGGATTAATTTTTTCTTCTTTTTCCCCCTTTAGTAAAATAAAACAGGGTCTTTTACCTAGCTTGGAAGATTTGCTGTTCTACACAATTGCAGAAGGACAAGAGAAAATACCTGTCCATAAATTTATCACAGTAAGTTTTTACACTTTTCTAAAACTTTAAAAATCAGCAGTACTGAATCAGTAATATAGAAATACTGAAATGTAATCTTTTTTTTTTTAAATATTTTATTGATTTTTTACAGAGAGGAAGGGAGAGAGATAGAGAGTCAGAAACATCGATGAGAGAGAAACATCGATCAGCCGCCTCCTGCACATCCCCCACTGGCGATGTGCCCACAACCCAGGTACATGCCCCTGACCGGAATCGAACCTGGGACCCCTCAGTCCGCAGGCCGACGCTCTATCCACTGAGCCAAACCGGTTTCGGCTACAAATGTAATCTTAAAGGTCATTTGATAAGTAGATTCTGATTGACACTTTCTCTTATGTTTTCAAATTTTCATTATGCTCATTTTAAGGTAATCAGTGAAAGAAAAAGAATGAGAAACTTATCCAGGAAGTGTGTAATAGTGACACTAAAATGCCTTATACTATATATTCAGGTCCTGGGTAGAAGTGTTTATGTACAGAAATAAAAACTTGTATTGGAATAAGCATATACATTGTTTGTACTATATATTTACACACTCTTATTTTTTTAAAAACAGGCACTCAAATCTACAGGATTGCGAACTTCTGATCCCAGGTTGAAAGAGTTTATGGATATGTTAAGATTAACTCTTCAAACAACATCAGATGGTGTCATGCTAGACAAAGATCTTTTTAAAAAGTAAAAATTTCTGCCAAACATTTAATGGTGATTGCTGTGCTGTATGGTCATTTTTATTTTATAACAAAATTGCATCATTTAAGGCCAATGCTTCCTGTGTAATTGAAACAAAAAGGAGGGATTTATAAACATCAATTGTTTGAAAAACTTGGTGCACATTAAGGTTTCTTAAGACATTGGGGCTATTGTATATTTTCTTTGAAACTGATTTAAAGAAATGTAGCCATGGATGCTTCCAATGGGTAGTACCTGGGGATTACATTCACTTTACATAGAGCCTCCTCTTTGTCCTGCCATGGCTTCCATTGATCTCCACTTCCTCTGATTGTCTTACGGGGTCTCAGCATGGTCTCTGCTTCCTTCTCACAAGGTGACTTAGAGGACATCATAAAATGAGAAGGCTTCAGACAGCCAGTATTCCTAAGGCTTACAGTTCTTCTCTCTGTTCCTTTCCTCTCTTTAGATGTATTCATACATAGGCTTTTATCTGTTTTCATTTTCCTCACATATTTAGAAACTAAAGATAACTTTGGAGATTAATGCCTCCATTTGGTAGATTGAGATTATTTTTTGCTTCCCTATACATACCTATTTATTACTTACCTTCATTAATGTGTTCCTGCTAGTCTGGTTACTTAATGATTTAATGGACAGCATGGTTGTAATGGGTCCCAAAGAGGTAAGTGATATTTTAAACTAATAAAGTGAAAGTAGTATAAACTTGTCAACACTACTGTAAGATGGCTTTTTTTCAGACCATAGGTTTAGGTTGAAATAGATCCCAAAGAATTCCAGTATCGACCTTGAAAATGTATTTGTATGTCTATATGTATTTATCTTTTATTTTCTTATGGGGATTGGATGATTTGTTCTAGATAGCACCTGGGAATATCCTGGAGTTTTAAGTTATCTAACGGTGTAAGAATTTTTAACTGAGATCCTTCAGGGTTTCCTGGCATGCTGTAAAGCATTGCTGACAGTTGGGATTATCTTTCACCACGAGGTTCATGATTCTGTTAATCCAGCTGACCTAATAAAGCCTAGACTTTAGGGTCTGTATTAGAATTGGTGTTAGGAATTTCGAGTCTTTAAAACCTGTTTCGTTGTGGAGAGAAGGAGGTAATTTCTGATTAGCTATACCTTTGCAGTAAGGATTGTTTTGTTGTTAGTGTTCATAAGCTCTCACCTTTGATAATGGAGTTACTTTGGCATATCTGAGAATGAAGTTGTCAGAGAGATGGTAGGTAGACCTGTTGATAATAGCAATGAGGATATGCCTTGAAATTTTAAGTGAAAGCAGCAATCCACACTTTAGTACTGTTTAAATTTTTTTGTGCTCAATAAACATGTTGCTATGTTTTAATCTGAAATTAAAAGTAATTTAAGTGCATTGATTATAAATCTAGGAAACATAATTATAAAATTTCCTACCCATAATTATATAAAAGACAACCACCATTATTTTAAACACTAATCCAGTCATTTATTAAAATAGATTATTGTGCCCTAACCGGTTTGGCTCAGTGGATAGAGCGTCGGCCTGTGGACTGAAGGGTCCCAGGTTCGATTCTGGTCAAGGGCATGGATCTGGGTTGCCGGCACATCCCCAGTGGGGAGTGTGCAGGAGGCAGCTGATCAATGTTTCTCTCTCATCGATGTTTCTAACTCTCTGTCCCTCTCCCTTCCTCTCTGGAAGATCAGTGAAATATTTTTTTAAAAAATTGTTTATTGTAATACAGGCAGTTCCCAATGGGACAAATGTGTACTAGTATGTAAGCAGGCAGAAAAGCCTTAAATCTGTAGGCATAAGGGTTGATCTTTCAAGCCCTAGAACAGTGGTTCTCAACCTTCTGGCCCTTTAAATACAGTTCCTCATGTGACCCAACCATAAAATTATTTTCGTTGCTACTTCATAACTGTAATGTTGCTACTGTGATGAATCATAATGTAAATATCTGATAGGCAGGATGGTCTTAGACAACCTCTGTGAAAGGGTTGTTTGACTGTTAGAGGGGTCGCGACCCACAGGTTGAGAACCGCTGCCCTAGAATGAGTTGATTTAAAAGTGCTGAAAATTAATCTTTTCAAAATAAGTTTTCTAGTTAGTGTTGCCAGAAATAAAACTATTTCACCTCCATGCAGGTGGGAATGAGATGGTATAGTGGAATTCATTTCCCCAGAAAAATAATTAATAAAGATTTTATTGAAAATAATTTCAGTGAAAATACATTTTTGGTTAGTATATCCTTTGAGGATAATCTGAGAAGCACCTATTTATGACTTTTTTAAAAATTGATGTCAGAGAAGAATGGAGAGGGAGAGAGATAGACACATCAGTGATGTGAGAGTCATCGATCTGCTGCCTCCTGCACACTCCACCCTGGGTATTAAGCCTGAAACCCAGACATGTGCCCTGACTGGGATTCAAACCGTGATCTCCTGATTTATAGGACAGTGCTCAATCACTGAGCTGTGCTGGCAGGCTGACTTTTTTTTTTTAATACATTTTATTGATTTTTTACAGAGAGGACGGGACAGAGAGAGAGAGAGTTAGAAACATCGATGAGAGAGAAACATCGATCAGCCGCCTCCTGCACCCCTCCCTCCCCCCACTGGGGATGTACCTGCAACCAAGGTACATGCCCTTGACCGGAATTAAACCTGGGACCCTTCGGTCCGCTGACACTCTATCCACTGAGCCAAACCGGCTACGGCAGGCTGACATTTTTCTAAAAAATGGGAAAATGAGTTCTGAGCATATTGTTTGCAGCATAATCTATTTGAAAGTTGGAGACTGCCTGTTAGTCAATTATTTTTAATCCTAATAACCTGAAAATTAATAGAAGTAGGAAATTTATGTGGAAAATGAATGCCATATTTATTCATGCATTTTTAACCATATGAGTATTAGAATTTTATATGTAATCACAATTTTTGGTCTTTTTTGGGGGAAATGAATGGTAATCTTTGCATTTGTATAATGTTTTAATTTTCTTTAAAAAGAGGGTTATTTTACTTTTGTAAAATATTGACATACATTACAGTTGTTAATAATAAACACTTAAGAAGGAAAGGAAAGTGATTATTCCAGTTTGCGGATGAGAAGACTGAACAAAGCATGAGAAAGATGTGACCTGCTGAAATACATAAGGACTTCCTCCTCAGAGTTCATTTTTTATGACGTCTAATTATAGATTCCCATTCCATCTATATTAATATAACTCCCAAGAAAATATTTGCTGTTTGGAATCTCATCCGTACACAATTAGGCACACTTCTGAGTTTAAAATTGCTTCTGTTGGCCACAGAATTCAGCAGTTAAGGCTGCTACCATTGCTTTACCAGCACTTTCTTATAAAGAAAAAAAAATTCCTACTTTACTGACTGTACAGTTTTGTTAATTATAAAGCCTTTTAAAAGTGCTGATAATTTTAAATAGTTAAGTAGTTGGTAGTAGGTTAATAATTTAAATTTGGCAGTTCTCATTTTCTCATGCATAATTTCTTAAAAATAAGGATGTGTATTTGTTTTGATGCAGATACAGCGATTTAAGGTCAGGAATTGCCTTAACTTTTCTGCAGAGTAATGTATTCAGTATATGTCTTGCAACTCTTAATGTACAAATTGAATTGCTATTTGAAATATATTGGTTGTTATAAATGAATGCCAAAATTTAATTTTTAGATTAACATTAAGAAGGTATCAAAAAAATTTATCAAATTTACTGAAGCAAATATTTGTTATCTCTGGAGTAGCAATTATTTATACATTTATAGGTTAATAATGGAAAAATAGGACTAATTTATGTTCTGAGCGGGGTACATCATTATCACTGAAAACAACTTGTTTTTTTATATTGTTTTAATCTTATGTTGATCAAGTGAGTATTTATTCTGAATTTTTATTAATAGTTAAAAGTGAGTAGAATAATATAATTCTTTTGGTGATCCAAATATAAATTTAATTGTACTACATTATATAATTTCATTTAAAATTCATTATTTTTACAAGCATTTTAATGTTATTTAAGAGACATTAATCTGACTAAACAAAGTTGATTTTATCTCCATTTTTTTAGCTTAGAAATGCAAATTTTTCAAAATGTAATTCAGGAAAAATACGTTAAAACACAAACTTCAGCTTTTTGGAAATACTAGTAATACTTTTATAGGAACTAAGATTAAAGTTTAATTTTTGTTACCTAAATGCCATGTTTAAAATCGTTTCATTCATTTTTAGAGAGAGGTGGAGAGAGAGAACATGGATATGAGAGCGAAACACCAGTTAGCTGCCTGATGCATGCCCCCCACCAGAGACTGAGCGTGCAGCCAGGGCACCCTCAGCTCTGGTGCCTGAGATAATGCCCAACCAACTGCGCCACACTGGCCAGGGCTAAAAACTTGTTTTTAGATGTTCTTGATACTTCACCTGATGGGATATTCTGTTTTAATCTTTGATACAATTTTTTTGGCAATCTAATTTATTTTGTTAACTTGTTCAACAGATTATAAGCAACTACATGAAAGGCTGCTTAAAGGAAAGAAACTGTACAAAGAATATTATTTCTAGAATTTAGTTTGTTGTATAAAATGTTTAATTTCTCTATTGTTTAAATATTCTCCTAATGTTATTACCAAGTACTCAAATTTGAAGGGCATTCAGTCGACTTATTTTTTCTCTCACATTCCACAGATGTGTTCAGAGCAACATTGTTTTGTTGACGCAAGCCTTTCGAAGAAAGTTTGTCATTCCTGACTTTATGTCTTTTACTTCTCATATCGATGAGTTGTATGAAAGCGCTAAAAAGCAGTCTGGAGGAAAGGTAACATTTTTAATGTGAAGATTTTCCTAAACCAATCACTTAATAAATTCAACTCAACTTGAGGTATAAAGAGTAAAATTGTGTAGTTTTCTTATGTTTTGCTAATAAATGAAGCCATTGGATAAAGTACTTTTAACATTTAAATATTTGAGTTTGTTATTTTGGCTAACAAGTAAGTTTACAAACTCTTGATTTTCAAATGATTGAGATGGCTTTAAATCTCTAATAAAAGTAACTTTACTGGGAATTTCTGCAGATATGATATTCTCAAACATTAAATATTTTCAGTTTTAAAAATCCTCTAAATAAAACTAAGGGTTATTTAATTTATTTCTTCTCCATATTGAAAGATTTTAGACAATGAAACCCTACTGGTATGACCCTGATTAAAGAAATTCTCTATTTCTTTCCTAGGAAGAGAGAGTGCTTTGGAAAACGGGATGGTGGAGACAGAAATCACTTAGATTTTACCTATAATTCTCAAATCTGTTGTGCCCTTAGTTATTATGAATATTGTCATAAAAGACTACAAAGCCACCAAGTGCTATAAAATTAAGTATTCATTGGTGGAAACTAAATTGAGATAAAATTTTTGGTAGACGAAAGTATTATTTTCTTGTATTAAATCTGTTAATTTCTAATATTTTGATTAGGTTGCAGACTATATTCCTCAACTAGCCAAGTTCAGTCCTGATTTGTGGGGTGTATCGGTTTGTACAGTAGATGGACAGAGGTAAGTTTATTTCAAATCCATGAAAACCAGTCATTTGTGAAGTACGAGGTCAGTTGCAAAACATGCAGGATTTTATGAAGTTTATGAAAGTTGTCTTTGGGAAATGCTTACACTACAGGCACAGGCACTGACAGACGAGGGTCTAGCACAATTATAGAAAGGATACGGATGTGAGGTTACTTCAAAGAGAATGATTTGATTTTAAAAACCAGTGAATTAAGGAGAGGCCCTTGGAAAAATGGATGAAGTCTGCAATATTTTTTTTGTCAGTTAAAAAGAAAAAACTTTTTTTTATTTAAGGACTTAGCTCAGAGGTATCACCCAAGGTAATTCTTTTTTAAATTAAAATATAACATAAAGTAAGATATGCAACACCTAAGTGTATACAACTTTATAGCACAGTTGTAATTTATCCTAGATTTTGTGAAAAGTAACAGGTCAGTTAGCCTTATAATTTTAGGTTTTTTTCTAAGAAAATGTCCAATTAAAGCTTTCATTCCCCATTTGTTAAATTCTGATATGAAGTGCCTTTATTCTAATCTTTTCATTATTTCTTCTTATTTTCCTCAAGTATTTATAATAAAAAAAAACACAGTTTAGCCCATTCATTTTTGAGATAAGGAATCTCAAGCCCAGAGATCATATAATACTGGAAGAATCGAAATTAGAACCTAGGTCTCTTAACTTAGTGCATTTGACTAAATGTTCATCTAGTCTATTCACTGAGCCAAACCAGTTAGTGTTCATCTAGTCTATTAACATTTTATCCTCATCTGGGCCTGTAAAATATACTAAAATGCCATGAAAGGACACAAATCCAGAAAACGTGGCTTTATCCTGATAGAGCACATTCCAATAGTGAGGAAATGGTTTATCATGTAATGGAAATGTTTATATTTGGAGAAAATCATTACTGTGTAATGCTTGCACATGGCTTTTCTCTTAAACATTGTGTATAGAGGTGATTCTTTTAGTTTAGTTTTCTTATCTAGAGAATTTTAAAAGACAACTTTGGACTGTTTTTGTTTTTATTTATCCTCACCCAAGGATATTTTTCCATAGATATTTTTTTTCTTTTCCTTTTTTTTTTTTTTAGTGAGAAAGAGGAAGGCAGGGAGAGGGAGGAAGGGAGAAAGAGAGACGTTGATGTGAGAGAGACACATCCATTGGTTGCCTTCTGCTTGTGAGCCTGCAACCATAGTATGTGCCCTTGACTGGAATCTATATATGTAAAAGCCTAAGGAACCATTTTGACTGGTCACTGTAACGTGCACTGACCACCAGGCGGCAGATGCTCAAAGGAGGAGCTGCCCCCTGGTAATCAGTGCACTCCCACAGCCAACGTTATGTGACCAGCTAACCTCCCGCGGTCTCTCCAGGCCAGATGGCCCCTGTAAGCCTTGATCGCCAGCCAGGCCTAGGGACACCACCTGTGTACAAATTCGTGTACTGGTCTCTAGTCAAATATAATGCAGATATCTCTCTGTTCTTAACACATTGCATACCACATAGAAATCTCTAAGACATATGCCAGGGACCGCACGTTTTTGGGCAAACTGCACGTTATTTAAATCCTCATAATGCACTTTAGGTGTTGTTGTCCAATAATTATAACATTTTTATTTACAAAAACAATTAAACAATTAAAGTTCCTAGTACTTTTTTAACGTATGGTACTGCGGTACGAAATGTGTTAAGCTTACATTATAATGGCGTCAGTAGGATTTTTCTATTTTTAAACCTATTCTCTACTTCATGTGTATCCCAATTTGGTAATATATAAAGTTTTGTTCTGTTTTTATGTACATGGTGATAAATGATAACTGTTAGTGCCAGCTATACTGGATGCCGTATATAATGGTGCTGGAACTGTAAGTAGATATGGTTGACAAGATGAAGCATTTATTGATAGTGTCTCAGAGAATGGTATTGAATCTAAATTGTGCTCCATTTAAAAATTAACTGTGGTTTAGCTGTGATTAAGGCTATGAGTAAAAAAAACAAGGTGACTAATTTCTAAAAGGGCTAAGTGATTTTATATGATTGAGTACAGGTTGGAATAAGGAGGGCTGTACCCGCTTGCCCTGAGGAAAAAATTTACATTATTTAATTACCTAATTTGGAATTATTTTATTACCCAAGTACTTTTAAGACTTGGCTTTATTTGCACTATTCCTCTTAAAATATACGTATATTTATTTTTTAATATCTAGGTAAATTTGTGGTTGAATTATAGGGAAACGGTTGCAAATTAGCATTAACATGTAAATATAACACCAATGATTCCAGTTTATCCTAAGTATTATTTAATCTTCCTTTAAATAGGCATTCTATTGGTGATACCAAAGTTCCATTTTGTCTTCAGTCCTGTGTAAAACCTTTGAAATATGCCATTGCGGTTAATGACCTTGGAACAGAATATGTGCATCGCTATGTTGGGAAAGAGCCAAGTGGATTAAGATTCAACAAACTGTTTTTAAATGAAGATGGTAAGAATTATATAAAAGTTGGTCAGAAAAAAGATACCTTTCCTATGTAAACTTCAGTGGGTCTTTTTTTGGAGGGGGAACATTAAAAGCATTCATACTTCATTTTTCACAGAATTCTGTGAAACCAGTGGATATGTTTTCATAACCTACTTTTTTAAATGGTTATTTTAGGCATCTCATACCACTGGAATAAGAAGATAATAGGGGTGGGGGCAGGATAAGATTTTTACTTTATAATCACATAGGGGAATAGCTTAAAGTAAAATCTCCCACTATCTGGAATTTGCTTTCAGAGAATTCATGGAGTGTAGCTGAGAGTGCTAGGTGTGACTTACTGTATGTTGGTAATTGTTAAAGCTAAAGGATAGCTATACATAGGTGTTTATATTTCTGCTTTTGTATATTGTATTAGGGGCCCAGTGCATGAATTTATGCACCTTGAAAGGAACTGTGGGCTGAGAGGCTGCAGTGGGCACAGGGGCAGGTATTGGCCAATCCTCCACACCTCTGCCTGGGCCCTCCCATCGCAGTCCCCTGGTCCCCTGTCTGCAGGCAGCCCCCATGGGCTGATGGTGCCAGCCCTACTCGCACCCACTGCTGGCGCGGGGCTGGTGCTGTCAGCAAGTACAAGCAGCGGTTCATGCCCCAGTCGCCCCTCAGGAGCCAGGGGGAGGTGAAGAAACCCTCAGCGGGTGCGAGAGCCAGGCGGGACTGTGCACACGGGAGCAAAGAATCTTCAGTAACGACCAGAGGCTCGACCCAATAACAGCAACCGATGCCCCACCTTGGTCTGGCACCCCCACTCACCTGCTCCACCATCCTGCCATGGCCGATGCCCACCATGTTCCGCGCACGCCCCTTGGTGGTCAGCACATGTCATAGCGACCAGTTCTGCTGTTAGGTCTATTTGCATATTAGTCTTTTATTATATAGGATAGGATATATTTGAAAACTTCCATAATAAGTTTTAGGCGGTGGCCCTGATTGAGATAGTGTTTTTGCTTTTTCTGTTTGTAACATTTAATATTTGAAAGAAACATTTTGCATTAAATAGTTAGACAATTAACAAGCCTTATTACTTTACAGGGATCCAAAAGAAAAGGGAAGACAAAGGTAGTTAGTACTTTTGATCTGATAGCAGTTGGTGTTTTAAATCTACATATCAATCTATATATTTGTGGGGGTTTTTTAATGTTTCAGGCACATGCTAGGTTCCTCATTGTGTAAGTTAAGATAATTGAAGAAAGCAAGAGTGAAGGAATTCAGTAGTTGCAATAATGGTTTGGAGAAATACTTTTGTATTTTTTCTTTATTTTGGATAAAAATGAAATGTGATTTATAGTCATTGTTTTATTTTGTTAGTGAAGTTAGAGGGTATTTTCTCATGTTTCTTTTCCTAATTATTTTGAGAATGATTACATATTCTTTTATTATAATCTTTCTAATGTGATGCTACGTTTGACTATGAATATTACCATAAACTCGTAACTTCAGTAAGGACAGTACATGCAGACGTACTTTATTTATTTATTAAACTCACTGAAATCAAGGTTTAATGTGGAAAAAAAGATTTAATATGGGAAGAACAAATATTTTTGTTCTAGCAAGATTAAACATTTTACAAGAAAAACTTAATATTTTTCTATGTAATGTAAGATAGAGTAATGTAGGAAGTTCTGGTGAATTGACTGGTGGTGGTTGTTTTTTTAATCCTCACTTGAGGAATTGCTTTCCTTGATTTTTTTCGAGAGAGGCAGGGGGAGAGAGAAAAATTAATTGGTTGCCTCCTGTACATGCATTGGGCCTCAGGGAATCACCAGGGCTGGGTGAACAGTGATTGTCAGGTTAATGGGACTCAGAATGCCTTTCTGCACCTGCAGCAGGAGGGCTCAGCAGTGAAAGCATGGCCTCTGCCAGCACTTGTGTCTGTGAGAAAGCTGCCCCTCCAGTCCTTGGCCCAAAGCCAAACAACTCAGTTCCTCCCTGTATGTATGTCCCTGGTGCCTTATGGGCTGCTGCCCCTGCCCTGGGGCTCAGAGGGAGTGAGTCCAAATAAATCCACATGCAGGCCCTTTAATAGGAGTGCCTGAGACTCTAGCAGCCCTCCATCTTAACT